GAATTTGAGCGGCGTCGTTACCAACGACATCGTCGACAAGCCGGCAAACTTTGACAAATGCCGAAAAGCGCGAAAAATTCACTTCATTTTATTTCAGCTGCCATCTTCGGTAACTTAGATGCGACTTCAAGACTCGACTCGACTCGACGCGACTCGACTCAAGTCTCAAGTCTCAACTCAACTGAAGTCGACACGAGCAGGGTTTGATGTGCGTTTGCTTTAATTGAAAATGTTTGAAATGTTTGAAATTCCATACCAAATGGCATACGCAAACGAAACGCACACACAAATGAAAAAAAAAAAATATACCTAATAATGCAAAATTAATTTCAATTACTTGCCAAAACATGAATATGACAGCTATGCGTCATAAGTTATAACTGACAGCCAGTCGGCGGCTAGGTCGAATAGAAGTCGAAGCAGCCGACTTCCGGCTAATTAAAATGGCATAAATTACAACGGTGCTGGCGATGATGAAAACGTTGTAAGTCCGGGACGCATTTTTGATCAAAAGCCTGAAGCTTTGACCCAGCCCGAGTCTAACTTGATTACCCGTTGGGATGACATGGACACCAGTTCGGACTCAGACTGAGGCGCCATTCTCTCAGTGTCGGTCTCTTTAAGTGGCCACCCAGAATTGGCTAATGTCCCTTTTCGTGTCTCTCTTCGGTCCTATTTTAGTTGCCTTCTTTTTTGGGCACGTCATGCATTTTTTGCTCGTGCTCTTTGCTTTGCATGGAGAAAACCAAATCCCATGCAAAATTTAGTGGAAACTAATTGCAGCAGCATTGAAATTAATTATTTAACCCTTTTTATTGTTTAAACTGTGCGCTCAGTGCGGCTGCTTGTCTGCCACGCTTATGTCCTCAGCTGTGGCCTTTCGGGCCCAGCCACGTTAAGACCATAGCCTGCAAGCCTTATTAGCATAATTAATTGTGCACATTTAGCTAATTAAACAAGTTATTACTTCATATTATACTTCTGTCATTATGTTTCGAGCAACGCCAAAGTCACTTTCCAACTAAATATACTAAGGAACTCTGATCTGCCCGTATTCAAAGACAAACCGCAAAAAATGTATTCGCACTCTCCCCAATGTCTTTTCTAAGAATTATCATTTAAATTAAAATGGTCCCCGGTTTTGAAAATGACAACTAAATAAGTTCATTAATAAAACTTGCATACAAATGCAATTAAATACTTTTTTGTAAGGTATAGAGAGAAAGCGCTGCTATGTTTCTGCACTCAGAAATAAACTTTAAAGCGACCGTTGTCTTAGGAATAACGCCATCCCTTCCAACACCTTTCCCTTTCCTTTAAAAGCAACACTTTCCCTGAAAGAAGGGATTATTTTCTTCAAATAGGACATTGATTTGTTCGTAGTAAGTGTGGAATTTTCTTACGATAAATGCTCCCTGACCAGTTGCATACAGGCAGCATGGAGACGACTTCTCATAGCTGACTGCTTAGAACTACCTCTTATAACTGACTGCTGATCGCCCTATATATATAGACAACGCATATAGTACATAAGGAGTCTAAGCGAACGTCCCTATGGTCTGAATATTTAAATTTTTGCTTATTTAAGTTCGTCTGTTCGTGAGCAAAAGGAGAAGATTTATTATAAAACAAGATAGAACGCTACAGTCGAGCAATCCCGACAGTAAAATAGCCTGTACTCTCCACAAAAAAGAAAAATTAAAAAAAAAAAATTTTTTTTAAATTAAATTATTAAAAAAAGTTAATGAATTAATTAATTAAATTAAATTAGAATACATGTTTATGTTCAGTTTTAACAGCATACATTTACATCACGTAACTATACGTATTTATATGCGTGTATGTATGCAGCACAAAGTTGAACCAAATCAGCAACAACAACAACAGCTGCGGGCAGCGCTGCCGACAGAGCTGCAGGCAGCGCATTAGCAGCGATTTTACTTATGGCTATAACTTTCTTCAGAATTGACCTATCATGATGAAATATGGCATACGGGCACATTAGTACTAACTGGATGTACCTACCAAAATTGATTTCAAAATTCCGAGAATTACGGAAGTTATAAGAAAAAACACGAATTGCGGGGGAGTGGGGGGGTGCATCGAAAAAAAACTCAAACTCGTACTTTCTCGGTCTTAGGAGAATATGGAAACCAAGTTTGGTTATTCTAGCTCTTATACTCTCTGAGATCCTTGCGTTCATACGGACAGACGGACAGACAGACGGACAGACAGACGGACAGACGGACGGACGGACAAGGCTATATCGACTCGGCTTCTCATCCTGATCAAGAATATATATACTTTGTGGGGTCTGCCACGCCTCCTTCTGTGTGTTACATACATGCGCACAAAACTAGTATAGCCTTTCACCCTTTGGGTACAGGCTATAATAAAATACACAAAAATATTGTATGCATGTGTGAGAAATATCTTAGTTCCTCCGATTTATAATGTTTCGTTGCTAAGGGAAAATGTTTGCATGTAGAGATCAAGTGGTCTTGAACGCAGGATGCTTGCTTTATGTGAATAAATAAGTGGACTTACAGTGAATTTCCTATAAAATTATCCAACAGCAAAACTACGAATATTTGTTTTATGTTCAGATCATCTAGAGCGCAGATATTCGCTATGTGTTCTTAACAACTATCTCGCCACATTTGTGATTACTCCTCCTCCAATATGTTTACGCATCGCCCAATTTTGAATAATATAAAACAGTTTTTCCTGACTCGACTGACTGACTCACTGACTGACTGATTGGTGATCAACACACAGCCCAAACGGTAAAAGCTAGGAAGCTGAAATTTGGACTCAAGTATCCTTTCATAGCGTAGGCTGGCGATAAGCATTTTGTAAAATTCGAGCTCCAAATGGGGAAAACTGACACGATTTTTATTTTCGATATCTGCATAAGTAACAGAAATATTTAACGCTAAAGCTGAGAAGTGAACATTTTTGAGGCAGTGGTGCTTCTTTTAATGGCTATATGGCTGTGATCCAATATATTAAGCATTCAAGACATTTCTTTTTTTTGCACTCCTTATGTAGGATTCCTGCGTATAGGATATCGCCTTTTCCGAAGAGCCATATATTCAGTCAATTGTCCATCTTCGTGTAGCTTTAGAAAAGTTGGCTCAGAATTAACGAGACTTACCTTAATCCGAGCAAATCTGGATTGCTTCAAACAAATGTCATTTTAATGAGCAAAAGCTGATGCGTAGTATGTAAAATAAAAGCCTCATGTGTAGCTTTAAATTACAATCCATATTTAATTTGACGCATATTGGTGTTCTGTGGCGCTGTCGATTAAATAAGATATATATATGTACTATATGTGTATACTATGTATGTAGTACTATAGTTGACGCCCTCTCTAATGCCCCGGCCATATGGCCATCGGGCGGGCTTTCAATTAAAACGAGCATTGTTTGACCGCACAGATCGAGGTGAAGCCGATGACCTGCCTGTAATTTAACCGATTAGCGATATACACAAGAGCAGCAATCCATAAATTGAATTATTTATTTATCCTATTTATTTTTATTTGCATGAATGGCATTAAAAAAGAGAGGGAGTGTGTCATTCAGTTAACGCACTTTAGCGTTTGCTGTGTTGTGCACAACTCGGTGAGCAGGCAAGTGCTCCGATGGGGAGAAACAATGGCCAGCATGAATTGAAAAAAAGTCAAAACCCATTACATTTTTCATTATTGCGTATATTGTAGGTAAATAAAACAACTTCACAACCGAAAGAAGTGAGAATGAATAGGCAAATTAATTTATACATTTAATATTGTTATTATTTTTTTCACACGCTTTTCTCGCTTCGCATTCACCATGTTTTTTTCTGCAGCCAGCCTTTAATATGGGTTTTATTTTAATTGAAAATTCAGTAACAAAAAAAACGGAAAAAGATATTGAAAAAATGTTCAGACCTCACTTTATTTACTCTTTCAATTGATTTTGTTAAGTTATACTGTGTGATGTGTGCTAGTTTATTGCAATTTTTGCATTCGATTTTGGCCTGAGTAAGTCCATTTTTTGTTCTGTTTTGTTTCGTTTTCTCTTTTCAGTAATGTTACATTGATTTTGTTTCCCTTGAATGGGTTTTTAATTGGCTCTCCAGCTCTGCGCTTTAATTGCAATTGGTATTTATTTTAATGAGCGGCTTCATAATCAGCGCGTTGGTTCTACTTTTTAAATTCCATTTTTTTCGCTGCATAACTTCGCTGCTTTGCCACTCTTGTTGGTGCTTCGGTTTTTCTGTACAATGAAATGAATATAGGTTTTGGAATTTTTGTGTTTATCTTTTTTTTTTGATATTTATGTGTTTTATGTTGATGCTGATGGTGTTTTTCTTGTGGCATTATCTGTGGCATATACTTTTTTGCACTGTTTATTAGTTTTAAAATTGTATGTACAGCTTTTAATATTAAATTACTTATACAAATATTCATACGTACTTATGTCGTTTTTACAGCATTCGCATATTTCACTGATAACATCTTATGTTATTCCATCTGATCATTTTGTTTTTGTTTTTGTTTTCGTATTCGTATTTGTTATTATTAATAGTTTTGCGTTTATTTTGGTGTACATATTGCTGAAATATATATATGTAGGTATGACCAGTGGTGGCTCATGTGCGAAAAAATCTCTGCGTGATATTCAATTTCAAAAAATGTATTTACATTGCAAATTACTGCGTTTTTCATTCACTTTTTCACTTTTTATTTATTTTTGGTTAGCGTGGATGTGTGTGTGACTTATTATAGCTATACTCGAGTATGTTGAACAATTTGTGTTATTATTATTTTCAATTTGTTTTTTATGTCGTGCAGATTCATAAATTTGTTGTTTAATTTCATTAACTTGCTTTGAAGATACAAAAACTGTGTTATGGCAGAAATATAAAACGCTTCAAACTAACAAATTACAAGCTTATCTGCATTGCAATAAAATGCCTCTGCCGGAAGTATGCAAATATAATGCCATTTAACTAAACCACTTAAGAGCTATTACATCAATAATATCATTGTTGCGTTAGTCTAAAAACAATTTGAATTTAATTCATTGCAAAGTACACATACAAACCATGCATTTCAACGCCATCCAATTAGCGCCTGCATTGTTTGCTATTTTCAACTAGTCCTTAAATTGCATGCACTTGGCGCACTTCACAAATTAAATTACAACTCTCCTCCATATATACAAATGACAAATACGCGAACGCCCTCCCTTATGCTAAGTCCCCCAACCCAAATTCTTCCCAAATACTTCGCTCCACAGAACTCAAACTTGAATAGCAGCAAACTTGCTCAATTTTTGACTAATTTTGTTTGAATGCGTACCTGAAATGCCTGTGAGTGTGTGTGAGTGTGTTTGTGTGTGCTTCGACAGCGTTCACGTTTGTGTCTAGGTTTGTCTTTAATTCTAACTAACTAACTAATGTGTTGATATAGTTGCCACAGGCAGCTCACTTGCCACAGCCAGAGGAGCCCTCTCACACCCACATTTAGACGCGTACTCAACAAACTCAGGCTGGGATTGTGACGCTGACGCCGATGCTGGTGTTGATGCTGATGGTGATTCCAACAATGATGCTCATGATTGGTGCCACAAACATTTCGTTAGCAGAAATATCACAAAGCAGGCGGAAATTAGCGTCGTCCTTGTCAAAATGCAACAGCTTTTCGTGGCCGCGGCATCATCTGTGGCAAAGGGAGAACACAAAGCAGCAAAAGAAACAACGGAGAAGGGAGGTATTTAGTTAATTGCATTAAAACGAAGAGAGGCCAACAAAACCAAAACCCACAACTACAAATCTTCAAAGCTGCTTGCGATTTTGTTGTTAGCTAATGAATGCTATAGTCGAGCTTGCCTATAAGAAACCTGAAAACTGTTGCCTACTTTAAGGCGGAGTGTGACAGAAACTGAATGCTAAAATCATAACGATTAGTATAACAGTACTGGGGTTATTTGACTGTCTCCATTTTCATTTAACTTAAAATTTGGGTAGAAATATTTCGTTGGTATCTCCAAAATTAAAATAGAGAGCTAGAAGCTTAGAAAAGCACTAGTCATATTAATTTGCCAATAAGTTATGTTTACTTTTAGACTTACATACTGCATTACTAGGCTGTTTTTATTTATGAATAAATACTAGCACCATTCATTTTTTGCATAAAAAATAAATTTGAAATGGAACATGGAATTGCGAAATTAAATAAAGTAATGCCTTCATTCTTTGAACTCTACTTTTAAATTCATGAATTCCTCGAAAATATTTCTCATTTAATTGAAGAGTTCCATTATTCAAAATCTGGAGTTCATTTTCTCTAAATAATTTCAAAGAAATATGTAATCTGATTTACTTATGTTGAACGTTTTTAAAAGTAGGGACCTAAAAGTGTTCTTCTTGTCGCTTGTGGACAAGCCCGACTGTAGGCTTTTGGCGGTTTGGGGATTCTGCTACTTACTTGTGCCCGCATGTATTAGCATCTGATTGTTCAAATTATCAAAGTGCGTCAGAGCTGCGCTAAGTGTTGTCTGGCGCCGCAGCTCCGGATAATTTTCAATTTCCGCTACGCACTTGAGCTCCAGTATCTTGCCAGCCTGGTAGAAGCGCTGGCCCTGTAGATAGAAATGCACCTGAAGACGTTGGCGACGCAATACGTAGTCGTGGGCGGGAATGCTGGTGTCCACTGTAGGCTGCAGCTCCCCGAGCAGTGGCTGCAAACAAATTTGTTGGCTTGGCTTTAGGGGGAATGTGTAGTGGCGGTGGTTAGCGGTTTATTTACCTGCTCGCCATTAATGTACCACGTCAGTTTGGTGGGCAGGCTGGAGTAGTCCGAGGAGCAAGTGGCGCTCAGAAACTCCTCCATGCGATACATGGAGTTGAAACTCTCAATTAGTGGATCACTTTGTGGCAGAGCTGTGGGAACGCGTGTGGCATACGAGTACTTGTATGTAATTGACAATACAGTTGCCAGATATGTGCGACACCTACCTGCCACTGTCATATTGTCCTCACGGGCGGCCAACTTGAAGTGTGGTGCATCGCCGGACACCTCACACTTGTATACCCCCGAAGACTTGCCGCCAAGCATGCTCAGATCCACACGGCAGGTGGACTCATTGCAAAAGTATTTGCCGTCCAGCACCTGCACACCGACCACCGGAAATTTCATGTAAACCGGATGCATCAATGGCGTGTATCTGCGGGGGGAGTAAGCTTTACTTGTAGTTTGCAAAACACAAGGAGAAGGGCGCTGTTTACCTGAAAAACTCCATGCGATCCTTATACCACTTCACCGAGTTCAAGGTGTGGCCACTCATGTCGTAGCTGCACGACAGCGTCACATTATCGCGAAAATCTACAATTTCCGGCACCGTAATCTCCGTCACGAACAGACCGGAAATGCATTTAAAATCTGTAAATCAAAGAAACTCTTAGTGCATTGCAGAATACTTTAAAAAAAAAACTACACATTATAATCACACAAATAAACCAAGCTAATAAATATATGAGCTTAAAGAAAGAAACGAGGCTATGAGAGGAAGCAAATAGATATGAATGTGCAATAACTTAAAAATACGCGAAGAAACGTTCTTTAAAGGTTAGCAGCATGCTGTACAATTTCCACGGCCAGCAAATATTACAATAATTTGGTGACTTGACCACAATGCTTTCAATGACTTTCAATGATTTAATGGTTACTACCCATTGTTAGGTTGGGCTACGAATATTCAAGCAAAAATACGTTTATTGCCAACTGCTGATTCAGCTGCCCTTATCTGATTATTTAAAATGGATCTAAGAGGACATTAGAAAGCTTCTGAAGAAAGTAAACAATAGTAGCAATAAACAAATGAGTCAATAAATCTACTACTATACTGCCTGTGACGCCAAAAACAACCAATCCTTTGGCTTGATTTGAGTTCAGTTTTTAATGGATTCCATTTTATTTTTCTTGTTTGACACAACTCTAGAAGCTTTCGATTTGTTAATATTTTTATGCAACATCAGTATTACAATATGTTGAGGTTGGCCATTAAACTACAAGTATGTCTTACTTCGGCATATCTATACTAATATTATAAAGAGGAATTTGATTGTTTGTTTGAATCAGTTCGTTATCATCATCGAAACATTGTCACTTTAAATATTACGGCAATATTATTCAAATGCCCCCAGCCAAATAAAAAATTACAAATCGATCGACACCGTGATTAATATGGAAGACATTTAAATTCACTAAACCCTTCTGGACTGCCGCCACATGAATTGACGGTAACATTCGGAATTTCAATCATGATTTTGAGAAATTCAAGCATTCCAATCATGTGCAATGGGACGAGGCTGCATATTAAGAAATTGCAGGACAATTTAAGTATAAAATGTATAATTTATAAATTTTTGTATAAATACCCGTGCGAAGCAGGAGCAGGACGCTAGTATTATATATATAATACATACAATATGGAGGTGCTTTAAAGGCCTACTCAGGCTTTGCGGTTAAGCACTGCCTGAGTTTTAATTAAGGCAGGTGAGTGGGTGAGTGGGTGAGCGGTTCCTAATGTTCTGGGCATAAAGCTAAAACGGCACGTTTTATGTTGAGTTACACGTCGGTCCCATTGGCATGGCTTCGCAATGATGAATACATACATACACATATACATAAATGCATGTCGATATGTGTATGCAGATTGGTAGCTGTGGCGGTGCCGGGTGGTGCCGGGTGGTGCTGGGTGGTGCGACAGCATTCGCTCTACACACATGAGACATCGAATAAATTTCAAATTTCATGAAATGAATATGCAAAATAGACGGCAAAAAAATGTGTGGCTAGGCCAAAAGGAGGAGGGAGGGACGGAATGGGGCCCACATGAGGAAACATAACAAAGGGAAGCGCCCCAGCACAGAGCCACTCATGGTTAGGCAATGGATATGGCCATGTGTAACTGGCATATGCTTTTCGTAATTCTAGCTAGTGCGTCCATTTCTGCATGTGCTCTCTGTATGTGTGGGTGTGTGTGTGTGTGTGCGTTTGTGGACATTTTGCACATAACTTTGGCTGAATGTGCGAGTCAGAGGGAGGCAGCAGCGAGCGATAAGCGTAACAATGAAAAGCACAACAGCCCCACAGAATTGATAAGAAATGTGACCGAAAATGTCAAGCGGGGTCTCTGATTCATTTCGCTTTGTATATTTAGTCTGGAACGACTAATTCGTATGGTTTGGTAGCATCTGAACGATAACGGGTAAGTTGTTCAAAGTAGAGGTCAAGCTGACATTGCTCGTCGACTGTAAATCTTAACTGTGGGCAGCTCTTTGTAGTTATACTCTTTTAGAAACAAACGGTATCTCCCCACAAAAATGTGAACATTTTCAAAAATACCGCCCAGTTTCTTATTAGAGCACAAAATCCCAAACGAGCTGACAAACAAATCTATAAAAACTCACAGAGTATTGCCAGAAAATTGCATGTATGCGACCATTATCTCATTATGCTGATCATTTAAATACGGGTAGCTATGTACTTAAGATCGAAATGGTAAAAGGTCCTCATTGGTTGATTAATATATGCAGCTTAAGAGTCTAAATTTTCAGCTGACGCTATGGGGGGATATTATTTATTGGAATGGCATTCCCACATTTCAACACTTATAACACAGGGTCATCAAACTAAGTGCAATAAATCTGCCAAGGATTCAATAGTGCTTAGCGAAGAGCAACTATTTTATTTGTGAGAATAAGGAACCCTTTTTATACTCCTCTTTTTTTTCCTTTGCTTTCAAGCAGAATATACTTGTTTTCAAGACTTCTTTATTATCATGTTTCAATACATTTTTGTAAATAAAGGGAAATACAAGTAGTCCGAAAAAACTTCTTGTTTCTTTGTGATCGAAATAAAACAAAAAGAATAACAAAATATGATAGATAGTTTCGAATACAGCTTCTTTTGCTTCCGTTTCTTGATGAAATGTTTGATTTAAAACAACAGAGTTGAAAGAAACCTCAGCTTCTCTATATTAAATAAATTTGTTCCTTCCTAAATTTCTTGTTTAATGTGTCCGTTCAAGAATTAGTTGAATTGTTGTACTTGTATGTGTATTTAGAACCATTTACCAAATTTACACCACCACTTAAAGCAAACAAATGAAAAACCTTTTAAGCTTTTATTTATGTAAATACCATTTCTCACACACACACCATTTCTAATTCTATAAACTACAATTCCAATTCTTTTATAGAAAGTAACATTTGTGCCACATAAATCTCTTCATTCATATACGAATATTTAGCTATATGTGTGCATATGCATATATGTATTTACTGTTTATTTATGCAAAACAATTATTTTTTGATGCACACACAACCTAAATATTCTCTTTTTATGCGACAACATTTTATATCTGACATGACTAACCACACCGACCCACACAGACGGATCTACTAATGCATATAGTCGTAGAGACTATTCTGCACACCTCGGCGCTGCAAACTTTCCTGATAATTAACCTACACATTTCATTTAAAGCAAGCGAACATATTTACTTTTCACCCACACACACACACCCACACACACAAATTTATTTGGGCACAGAAATTTGCATATGAATTTCCTGACTCCGGCTATCTGCGTGCTCGACCCCAAACCCCAACCCCTACTCTAACCCCAACCTCAACAGCCCACCAAATTTGGTGATAAATTCATTTGGAGACGTTGAGACATTTTGTGCAAAAATGCTCTGTTGTGGTTGCTTGATGTGTCTGTGTGAGTCTGAAAGGCTGTCTGTGTCTCAATCTTTATCTGCGTGTTGTGCTTGCGGTTGAGAAGAGTTTGCGAAAACAGTCCGTGTCATTGTTATAGCACAATGAGACTGAACGCTTTTAGTCATATATGGTATTGCAAATTAGTGATAAAAAGAGACAGAAATGCATTCTCTAGTTTCAGTTCTCCTCCTCTCACTTTCTCCATCTTCTCGTCCTCCAAACGATACTAGCGACATTTGAAAATAAACCTACACGCATGCGTATTAAAATGATTTCCAGAAATATTCAGGGGTTCAAGGGGTTTTCACGATCGCAGAAATTAGAGCTTTACCTCAAAGAACTTCAACAAATTAATGCCAAAAATTTCGAAGGTTAGGATAACAGGAACTTGAATCTTCGACATTGAATACGAAATTGTGCGGATTCTGAAAAAAACCCCAATAACGCCGCTACTGGATGTGCAATCTAAACTGTGGGATAAATATTTGATTAGGAAAGCTTAAAGGCAGATATGGCAAAGATTATTATGTTTTTAAAAGATCATTTATTTTGCTGGTCAATTCATAAAAATAGCTTGTGGTGCTTAGTAGCACATATATGGTACATATCTATATTATTCTTTTGGCTCGGAGTGGCAGAGTTGCTAATTGTGTTAATTATTTAAATGACAATTTACTCAGTCGTCTTTAAATGAATCGTGATGGCTCGCATAACTCTCAAGTGCCTTATGAATATGAGTGTCACTGTGCCATGAGTACGAGTCTGTGGTCTCTCTGGCTTAGTTTCTCCTTAGGTTTGTGCATTTGAATATATATTTATACGTATTGTGGTTTTGGCAACAAAATGCGTACAAATATACTACAAACACTTCTAGGGTCAATTGTCGAGGCTTAATGCAAAATTGTTGGGCAAGAGCTCGAAAACCAGAAATGCCACAAAAAATATCTGATGGCAATGGGCGACGTCCGATTCGTTCGATTTCTGAATCATGTATATACGTTTTTAATTAAAAGTAAAGTTTATACTTGCAATTAATTGCTTATGGCTGTACAAAGCACAGCCGAAATAGCGTACTAATTTGCTGAGTAAATAAACAGGACTAAGCCATTTTGAGAGTGTTTGTGTGTGTGTGTGTGTCGCATTTATTGTGTGTGGTTAACAAGAGAAAGGACTGGAAATTGAACAACAATCGCACAATGGCAAACATATTTAATTCCATTAAGCAAGTTAAACGTTAAACTGTGCAGCTGAAGCACACATAAGGAGATTGGGTTAAGGAAAGCAAGAGGGACTAGGAGTGCGAGCCATATACGAGTAGAGAGAGGGGGAGAGGGAAAGAGGGAGAGAGGGAGAGAGAGGGAGAGCAAGTCTGTGGTGTGAGCGGAAAATAACAAACAGAAAATATTGAAACTGTGTGTAGAAATTGAAAAGTTGTACTATGTACGAGTATGTGTGAGTGTGTTGGAGTCTGTATGCGTGAGTGTGTATGTGTGTGTGTGTGTGTGTCTGTTTGTGTATGGGCACTAGTCCAAAGCCATGTCGCAGAGCATTCCATTGTAAAACATTTCAATGAATAGATGAATGAATGGCTGCCTGGGCTGAATGTGCTCAGAGGTGTGTAAGTAAAATGTGTCAGCAGCAGAAGAGTTTTCCCCCCCCCCCCCCCACACACACACACACACACACCCGCACTCATATTATTAGTTTTCCTTTTTTGCAATTGCATTTTAGTTAACTTGCGACGGCAACGCACACAAAGCCTGCAGGACTGCCGTTGAATGGCTAAAAGGCTTAGCGCAAAATTAAAACCAAGGACCGTCTCGTTGAAAAATGTTTGAAAATATTGTCCGAGCATTAAATGCACGTTAAATGAATGGCCTCCTCGCATTCCTCCCAGCAGCGTTTTTCACTGACATTAGACACAATTAAATGCAGCTCCATAAAATTATTAGATACGTCCGCTCAAGTGGTGATCAGATTAATCTTTGGATACTCTACTAACTGCCAATAGGGCTGCACTTTCTTGCTTACGACATCTGTCTAATCTAAATATTATTGTTTCAGTGCTGCCAGGGAACATATGTACATATACATATACCGAATTAAAAATAATGTATGCTTATTAAAGAAAAAAATCTATGATCATATAAATTTCTTAATTTTCAAATTAACAAAGCGCGGGTCTTAGTCGGTTTTTGTTCAACAACCTTATATTAAATTACAGGTTACAGCATGCAACAAAATATGCACAGTTTAAAAGGTTTAAAGATTTCAAAGCGTACAGCTTTTAAAATTAATGAGGTTTTATATTGTCGGATATTTTTTTAAATACGACATTTATTACTAAAAAAATTAGATCGCTCAGTGAAAATGAGATGCGATTATTGCATATAATCAACTGACTACGAAAAAGGGAGAATATATTAACATATACATATAGTATAAGTATAGCAAAGTTTTAGGGATATTCAGTTTTAAAAAGCAAACATATTTTTGCAAAAGATTCGAAAATAGTTGTTTTATGGCATTCCTTAAAAAAAACAGAAGGTAGTATAAAGGTGCTGCAAGGGAAAAGGTGTTGGGTATAAATCCCCATTGTGGGCAGATGAAAGATTTTAAAAGTTTAGCATAAAGAGGGTAAATTTTAGATTGGGAGCAATGCTATGTAGTTCTTTATTTTTCCTCTTAAATGCTTCCAACTTGATGGGAAAAAGAAATTCATGTATCTATTAAGTATTATTTTCATGCTGTAATATCAGACTTTTTGATTGTTGTGCCATTTAGGCACAAACTTCTATCGCATAAATAAAAAATCGAAAAACAATTGAAAAGAACAAAACCAATGTGCAAAAAAAATAAATAAATAAATAGCAAATAAATAAATCATTCAATTTAAATATATTTTCAATATAATTACGTAGCACATTTGATTGCTTACAAAAAAACACTCATAGCTAATATGGTATCTAATTAATTCAGCAAATGTTTTGATTGATCCGTCTGAAAAAGATTTAAGCCGACAATGCTGATGACTGTGCACTCAATTACAGCGATTAGAGGAAAATGAAATCAATAGCCAATCCATTTTCGTTCTTGCCGCTCATCCTTTTGACTTGTGACTCATAATTACAATTTGGCGTGTTCCATTTTGCTTTCCAGGAACTCGTTGAGCGAGTTGAAAATTGCACAGAGTCGGCAATTGGTGCACCAAGTGGCACTGCCATTGGCAGCCTGCCTAATTACGAGCATTTCAAAAATACAATTTCACTTTAAACTGCACTTAAGATGCGCGAGAGTGTGTTTGTGTGTGGCTGAAATTTTGAAGTGCCGAGGGGAATGAGAATGAGTGGCAGAAGCAGAAGCAGGAGCAGCAGCAGCAGCAGCACCCACATGCAATTCATTGAAGGCTGCATTCGCTCTGCCAGAAGCGCTTGAAATTATGGCAAAAGTCATTAAAACAAAATACACAGCATGCGGAAAAAGAGCAAGAGGCTAGCGAGCAAAGCAAACAGTTGCGGGGCAAATGAAAAATGCGAAATAAAAAAAACTTTGTCAATATTGATTTGCGGTTGAAGCTGAAGAGCTGGAGAGCGTGAAGAGGCCGCAGCCGCAGTGGCAAAAGCTCGCAGGCAAACAGCAATAATAACAATAATAATAATTCGATAAAAGCGTGCTGAGAATCGTTAACAGGCAATAAAATCGAAATATCAAGCATACGCAGCGTACGCTCGCTCAAGTAAGTCACAAACCAAAATCCTCGTGTGTACAATATACTTAAAAGCATACAGCAATTGATCAGATTTGCTTTTTATATCCACACTCACCAATTAAAAGAGCGCTCAGCAGCAGCAGTCCCAGGCCGTAATCCATTTTGGGGCCCGTGGTCTCGGCCGAGATGAGCGATTGATTGTTCAAATGAATTGAATCGTCCAGAAAGCTTCAATTAGTATTGTTGCTGTTGCCGTTGTTGTTGTACACTTTTGTGCTATCGTTGGTTTATATTTATCTCTCTATAACATATAGCCAAATGTTTACGCTGTTTGCTTTGTCATCGAGATATTTTCACTTAATAAATACTATCGAGTACTGCTCGAATGTTGTCTTTGTAGAGCGACTGGGCGATGTTGTGGTTGTTGCAGCGCCTGTTGTTGTTGTTTCAATAATAATTCAATAGCCAAACAGCTGACAAAAGCAAAGGCAAATAAAAGCTAAACTAGAGCAAGCAAGCTGGCAGACAGGGAGACCGACAGACAGACAGACAGACGGGGAGGCAAACATTCTGGCAAGCAGTCAGCCAAGTTAAGCGACAGCGGATACAGTTCGATGAGAGCAAAATTAATTGAACTCAGCGTCAAAGGCAAATGGCAGTATTTCTAACAGCAGAGAGGGGGCCTGAATGTGGCAGAACGGGGCAAAATAAAGCAGAGCAAGGCAACGAAATAAAAATAAAATATAAAATAAATAAACAGACAAACTCATGCAGAAAAGTTCAAAGGATACGCCCACTCCAATCCTCCAATCCTCCACTGCTCCAATGCTCCACACCACACAACCCCACTTCTCATCTGTACGGTTTGTTCGTCGCCGTCGTTGACTGTGTCGTTATAAATAAGTTACAAACATTCGAAAAATAAGAGAAAAAATGGAAAAGAAGGAATAAAAAGCATGAACACGACGCTCTACAAGAAAGTGGCGTACGAAAGGGAAAGCAAAACACAGGACATAAAAACCAAGCAGGTCGCGTGGCTCTCCGGCTGCTTTCAATGCAAATGTAAATGTGTGTCTGTGTTTCTGTGTGACTGTGTGCTTGTGTACGTATGTCAACTTAAATAATTTAAATGCTAAATTCAAACGAATCCATGTGTTTAATATTTGAACATGCTGTTACGACCATTCGTCCCCTGCCTTCCTCCCTTCCTTCCTTCCTTCCATCCTTCCATCATCGACAAGCGTCTAGCATCGCCTTTTGAGTTTTTGTTGTCAATTTGGCTTGTTTAGGCAGCAGAGGCAAACAGTCAGGCATTCAGACTTGGCCCACTAAGGCAACCAGTTAGTCAGCCAAGTCCTGCTGAGCCCCCTTCAGCGGAAGCGGAAGTGCTGCTCTGCCTCGACTAAGTTCGCCCTCGTCTAGCTGCCTGACTTTTTCATTGCCCGCTGTGTTCTAAGTGCGCTTTTAATGGCCTTACAAATGAAGTTCATTTTGCGCATGATGGCTTGACTGCCTGTATGCCCCTTACACTGATTACACCGAACTTAATGGATGCATCTGCTGGCTATGTCTGTGAGTAGAGTGCCAAGGATTCGATTATTTCGACTTGGAAGCCAACATACCAATATTCTCTGTACTGTACGCTGTACTTCAAACAGAACTTCTTCAGCTACGACTTCAATTTGCAGCGATTTAAAAATTAAAGGATCAATTTAAATTCAATTTCGTTAAACTTATTAAGGTAGGCCTGGAATGTCTTCGTTGAATAATTCATTTCACCAAACTGTGGTCAGACTAAAGCATTTTCGATAAAGTGTTTTCCTGTTACCTGCGCAGCTTCGAATTGCTCGCAAAGTTCAATTTAAGGGGGCCTCAGACAGCTCAATAGCTCCGTAATCCGTTGAAAGTCGGATACAAAATGAATAATACAATTTATAAATTATTAATACAGACTTAAAGCTGCACTTTTCGCTAATTATCTAAATTTCTCAGACGCACACACACCTGTTTAAATATGTTTGGTAAAGGCGCCTGCTTAGGCAACTGTGTGTGCACTTTGGTTGACCTTTGACATTATTGACACTACATTGGCGTGGAAATCGATGCACTGTCGCTTGGCCGCCTTCCACTTTAGTTTCTTTGATTTGCTAAGCAGTGGCAGCACCAGCAGTAGCACGCGGCGAATACGTAATATTTGCAGCAGCATTTATTTTAATGAGCAGGCTGTCGGCTTTCAATTTTTAATTCAAACACGGACACACTCGCGCACATTGGACAAATGCCTTGCGGCGTTTGTTGTATCTTCACTTTGGCTTATACAGGACAACGACAACGACAGCGACGACGGCGACAGCGACGAGGACGAAGACAAAGACGACGGCATGGATGTGAGCGACGCAAATGTATCTCCGCACGCTTTCAAGTTTACGAACTGACTGAAGCCAGAACGTAAAGCGTGCGAGATGCTGGCGCCGCTCACTGGCCGCAGCAGGCAGCAGGCAGCAGTCGACGCTAGCGTCGCCGTCGTCGTCGTGTAACTCGGTGCTGCTCCGCAGCATCTCTGGCTGCGCTTCGTTTGCTGCCTCCGGCTTCGGGCAAATACGACAGAAGGCAAGGCAAGTGAGCCAGCCAGCTGTGTGTGTGTGTGTGTGTGTGTGTGTGTGTGTGTGTGTGTGTGTGTGTGTGTGTGTGTGTGTGTGTGTGTGTGTGTGTGTGTGTGTGTGTGTGTGTGTGTGTGTGTGTGTGTGTGTGTGTGTGTGTGTGTGTGTGTGTGTGTGTGTGTGTGTGTGTGTGTGTGTGGTGTGTGTGTGTGTGTGTGTGTGTGTGTGTGTGTGTGTGTGTGTGTGTGTGTGTGTGTGTGTGTGTGTGTGTGTGTGTGTGTGTGTGTGTGTGTGTGTGTGTTACTGGGCTGCGGCTGATGCTGATGCTGATGCTGCGTCCAAAGAGAGGAAGGAGAGAGCGCGTGAAGAGAAGCGCGCTCTTTAATGCATGCTACACTTTGTAGCTTTGTCGCTGTCTGTTACTGTTAACAGCAGCACTGTTAAGTTGCAGTAACAGCTGCCAGCAGCATATTTTGTATGTCAGACTCGCTTCTGCTATTGCCTTTGAACCCACTAAGCACTCATTATGTGCACTTTGGCTGAATAGCAACTATGAATTGCAACCAACATATTAGCGATTACCTATATGTATGAGAGTACGTACATCTATCAGGCTTCAGCTGAGCTGACATGGCCATTAACATATTCATAGCTTTCAGTCAACTTTTGCAGCTCTTGGCTTAGCCAAAACTTTGAGTTATTTATAAACTTTGCTTTGACCAGTGACATTTTTTGCCTGTATGTGTATATGTATGTGTATGTGTGTGGGAGCGCGTGTGTGTGATTTTCATTTTTCGTTGCGTTTGTTGTTGTCGCTTTTTGAGTTTGAATTTCATAGTAAAGGGATATCGTTGGTAGTTAAATGCAGCAAGCTGCAGCTGCATATAAAAATACTACGTGCAGTGGCCGAGAAAGCTGTAGAACAGAGCAGAGCAGAACACAGAACACAGAACAGAACAGGACAGGAAGAAGCAGCAGCACTAACTGTAAAAGCAACAACAGCTATGGCGGCCACGCCAGCACCAAGTCATCTTATCATTTCATGAATAATGCAGGGATTTGTTAGGGACACATGACTGGAATTTTACGCAAAAGTTGTGATGATGTTGCAGATGCTCAGCTGCCGCGCCCCATCACCCCTCTAACCCACAAGCAATGCTGACACTGCCACTGCCACTGCTACTGCCACTGTTGCCACTGCTGCCACTGCTGCTGCTGCTTCTTTGGCCCGAGTTGCCAACCGCCGACACGCACGCTAACACTTTGTTGTTATTGTACACGCCCAACGTCAACGTTGTCGTCTATGCCAGTTCTGTTATTGTTGTTGTTCTTTTTCTTTTAAGTTTTTTTTTTTGAGTTACACTATGACTGCATGTTGGTGGCTTTTGTTGTTGTTGGTGTTGTTGTTGTTGGTGGGTGCGGCAATCAACAGAAAATTGCAGATTTTAAATTCAAAGCATCCTCCCCTTCTCGTCCTGCCTCGGAAGCTCGCTTCCATACTCACTCAGCCGCTCGCTGTCGTCGTCATTGTTGTTGTTGCTCTTGTTGCTGTTGTTATTTTTGGCCTTTTTAGTATGTGTGCACAGCGCAACTTAATTTCTGTGAATAATTTTTGATGTTAAAATATGAATATTAAAACAAAGCAGCAGAAGCAAAGGCAGCGACTTGCATGCGCGCCTCTGCATATGCTACACTTTTCATCGCTACGGAAGATGCGGAAGTTGGCTCTAGCTGTAAATGCTATTTGCCTCACATGGCAAGACGTTACTTCTTGCCACCTCTTACGAGTACTACCACTACCTGACGATGCAGCAGCTCAGCCTTCGAGCTGCTATTTATTTTATGTGCATTTCTCATCTAGAGTCACGTGACAACGCAAACTTTTATGCTACAAAAAGTTGTCAAAATAAAGAAGGGAAAAAAGAGATGGAGGTTTAACTCTTGTCGCCATTTCATTGCATACGACTGTGTGTGTGTGTGTGTAGGAAGGGCATGTGTGTGCGCACTTTTTATGCACTTTAAGCGCATGTGGCTCGGTACGTGTTCTCGTGCGAGTGAGCCGCAAAACTTGCTAAACTTTGCCAAAAATAAATCACACATTTAAAAAATTCATAACTTTAAGTTTGCTTTATGACTTTTGTTTATAACTCTGCGCCATGTTACACATACTCGTACCTCTCAGCCAACATAACGCACGCGCAGCAATTTCTCACACGCAGACACAGACATACATCGCAGCAAGGACATTAAATTATTGATGAGCTCTTTTAGTGTTTACTTGTGTTTACATTTTAGACATTCTCAATCTCAATTCTCAAACCCACGAACGAACCCAGCAACCGTCACCGAAATTGCAAATGTTTGTACGTTTTCGATCAGTTCCTAAAAATACTCGTAAAAAGCCAAAAAGCGGCTTGTCGCAAATTTGTATGTTACTAGTACAACGACACTTAAAGTGCATCTATTAAGTGGCAAGCAAATGAAAGGCTGACCACAAATGTCTTTTACTAGAAAAGTGGAAATCCAATGACAGCTGAACTTAAGGAATATTTCCAAAAGCCAAATATTTATATTCTCATTCAATCCCATTAATGCTGCTCTCTCTTTTCACATGCATCCTACAATAAATTAAAGAAATGAAATGCTATGGCTTGCTGCCTATTATTATTATTATTCATAAAACTCCACTTAAATGAAAGAACTGAAGCTTTTGCTTTATTGCTTATTCAGACTATTTCATGAGGCTCAGCAATAATCTTTGGGTTAGGCACAAGAAAGAAATGAAAAATGAAAGTGTTTAACTATAATTACACAGAAAAAGCTTCAATAAATTTAATAAATTGATTATTTATTTATAAAATATTGGAGAGAATGTATTCCAATATTTCTGAATTTAATTAATTAATATTTTAAATGTATAAGATTGCGACATTTATGCAAATCTTGTAACTTTATTATAAAACTTAGTACTTTGAGAAAAATGTTTTAAAATGTTTTGTTTATCGAACTGTTATCTTCAGGACTAACCCCACTTCTTAAACGGATAAGTGATATCAGATCTGGCCTTGCCTGTTTGATGCGATGTGTGGTTCCGTACTTCTTCAAATATGGTATTGGGAAGTAAGTTATCGTCAGTGGATTGAAAATACACGAGCTTTGTCCAGGAAGCATGTGGTTTTAAACAAACGGCGCTACATGCTAGATATTACGCGGAACAATGGACCAATCGAGAGGCGAGTTCGGTGAGTTTTAAAACTTCCCTAGTTGGTTCCATTCTATTGGAATAAGACGGCAAAGTGCATATATACTCGTACTGTTGAGATCTAAATGACTTTGTGTTCTGGAGTTCTGTATTTTCCCGCTCACATATATATTTGAGCTGCAATGCGATTTAGTTTGGATGGTGGCAAGAAAATCGACCATGAAGTGCACGCCAATAAGGAGTAAGGAATCAATCAAATTTGAAAGTGGCGCCCTCTAGTGGCGGCGTTGGCGCCCGTCGCCTTAATGACAAACTAAATTGTCAATCAGCCATGAATTGCACGAAATGAAGTGTAAAATTGCAATTTCATCCAATTTGCAATTAACCCAATGAAATGATAAACATTTTTTGCAATTTCAAATTATTCCAATGGAACGCACATACTATGCGTTCGTATGTATGTATGTACAGGTGTGCAAGTGTGTAGGTAGGTGTGTGTGGGTGTGGCTGTTCGACACTTTCACTGCGCGACAGCAACGCCAACAACAACTGCAACATGTTGTGTGGCCGAGCTGCAACATTGGGGCGTTGCCTGAGCCGCTACGTCGAGTGGCAAGTGGGAAGCGGGCGGTGGCATGCAGCACGGGCAAAAAGCAATTGAAGCAATTGCCGAGCCAGCCATTTCAAAATTCGCCACGTTTCGTTTCGCGAGCGCCTTTCACCTGCCTGTCCTTGCTCTGCACGTCTGTTGTTGTTGTCGTTGTTGTTGCTGTTGCTTTAATTAAGGGCAGAACTGTGGGCGCTGCTGCTTGGCCAGCTACTTGTGCAAAAGTGCAAGTTTAATTGCATCGAGTCTAACTAGTTAATGGTTGCAATTGCAAATTGAAATGGTGACAAAGCAATTGAGGTTAAAAACTCCCCAAATGCCCTGCCGATGTCCGCCAATTGCACTTGCAGCATCGATGAGGCTAGTGATTAGTTTATAAGCGCCTAGATAATAAATACGCCCCATCAGATTAAATGTGCTTATTTATTAGACAACAATAATGACAGCAATGAGATATAAGACTATCACAAAAATCTCTACCTCAAAAATATTCTTATTCACAACCATTTGTAATCGGAGACTTCTAATTAGTTGACTAACAATTGTAATTGTTCTTATTTTTTTATTTTTTCGAATACTACGCTGCAATATAAAATCTCCATTTCTTCATTATAGAAAACATTCAATTTTGGGAGTTTCTTGCTACCCTTAAGATATTGAATAGCTAAGTGGAACAACAATGTTTAGCCTTTCGTGATGCGCCTTCGATACTATTGCCAATTCTTGCTTTCTATTCACCACGATTCAGAGAAATTATTCAAAAGTTATTGTTTTTTAGTGACTTCAGATAAATAAGAAAAATGATTGTAAAGCATTATGGTAGATTGCGAAGAGAAGAAAGTGGAATCCAAAGATAAAATTTGAACGAATAGTTAATTATTTTAGGTAATAA